CGAGCTTGTTGCAGCGATTCTGCAAACACCAACCTCGATCTACTTTTCCCGCCACTAGGAAAAGGCACGAGGACGTCATCACCTCCTCTTGCAGTTTTCTAACAAGTATGTGATAACCCTCTTTATCTCTTTTGATCATTTTTGGATTCAAGTTCACACTGTCTGCCAACAGAATAGCTACCTCTGATTTTTCCTGGGTTCCTGTCCCATGGAGTATTGTTTTCCACCCTTTGACTTTCAGTCTACAAATTTCCTTTTCCTACAAGTTGTTTTTTTGTTTTTTTTTTTTGCGGAACCGGGGATTGAACTCAGATCCTTGCATTTGCTGGTCAAGCGCTTATCCTACTGAGCCATCTCCCCAGCCCCATAAATTTTACTATTTTAACTTTCGGTTTACAATGCTAAGGACTGAGCCCAGCAATTTTTTTTTTTTTTTTTTTTTTTTCGGAACCAGGGATCAAACTCAAGCCTTTACTGAGCTATCTCCCCAGCCCTACTACAAGTTCTTTTTGTAGACATTTTGTTTCTTTTTATTTTCCTTTTTTGTGTGTGTATGTGTACTTTAAACAATTTATTTAACTGAAATGGACTCATATTTGTTTCTGAAGTGACTGCCATTCTTTGTTTGTTTGATTTTAGTGCTGAGGACCAAACACAGGGCTTCCAGCTTGCTAGGCAAGCATTCTACTGGTGAGCCAAATCCCCAGCCCTATTTATTTATTTATTTATTCCTATTTATTTTGATACATCTTTTCCCCATGGTGATTTACAGGCCCTTCAAGCCAATATATATATTGTATATGTATAAATATTTGAATATTTGTGTATAGACCTGCACAATACCTCAGCGATATCTTTCAGTGAGAAAAACACTGACAAATAAAGACTAGACACGATTACTAAGGAGAGTAAAAATCTGCTGCAAATATTTCTGAGGTAAGAAGGCACCACATACCTATTCAACTAAGAAAATCACCCTTATAACACAGGATGGTTTTATTTTTATGTGAGACCTAGAACACTTAAGCTGCCAATTAGTTGCTGAATAGCAGAGCAACATCCCCAGTTTATGTCATGAATTCATAAGGAATAGGCTCCAACAACTCAGGTTCCTTCCCATTGGTCCTCACAAAGTGCGCTACTCTGGTCAGGGCAGGATGGTGCTTCAGTTGAACCCAGGTACCTTTCTCTTTGGCATCCTCCTTTTTCTGATCTTTTGCCTTGACATGTTTCAGGAAGCTATCATGACTTTTTGAGTCTTTAATATGTTCAATATGCACATTAATCCTCTTGGCAAGTATCCTGGCCTTAACTTGCTTGACTACAACAATGCTAACAGCATGCTGGATAACATACTCTTCCCATTTTGCCATGGTAACATTTGCAAGGCATTCCTTTTTGCACAGTACCCATTCTCTTGATATCTAGAATATCACTCTTTTTGTAGATTCACATGTATGTGGCCAAAAGAACAACTCTATGTTTTCTAAAAGGCCTGGAGAACACATACCAGCTTTTCCTCTTCTTGCCCTTTGTGTTAAGTCATTTTGGCAAATTACTAAAAGATGGCAGTTCTACTGCCATTTACTCTGATCTACTCTGCCAAGGGGCTAACGATATAGCTTATTGGCACAAGCACATGCCTGGCAAGTGTTAAAGTCTCAAATTTGATTCCTGGTAACAGGGAAAAAAGATAACACTCTGCCAATCTGTTTCACTTGGTGAATTAAGGCCATTTACATTGACGGTTATAAATGATATGAATTCATCTTTGCCATGTTATTTTCCTGCTGTTGATTCCCCATATTTGCCCTCTGTTTAACTGTCTACTCTGCTTGTAGTTCCTTTCTGTTATTCTTGGAATTGTGGTCATTTTTATCTCTTTCTAGAATATCTTTCAGTACTCTTTGTAGGGTTTGTTTGGTGGTTATGAATTTCTTCAGTTGTTCTTTGTTGTGGAAGTATCTTATTTCTCCATTAATTTCAGGGTCTATTAATCTGGTGCGGAAATTGTTTTCTTTCCGGACCTAAAATATGTCACTCAAATTTCTTCATCATCATCTTTTTTCATGTATTTGGTACATGGTCTCACTATGCAGTTCAGACTCGTAGTGATCCTCCTGTTGTCAACTTCTCCAATGTTGGGATTACAGGAACATACCACCATGCCCGGTCTCGGGCCAGCTCAGCGCACTCAGGGTCAATGCCAGTGAGGCATCAGTCCCTGCACTTGCCTAAGTAAGCATTTGGTCCACTGAGCTATCTAGCCAGCCTTCAAATCTCTTTACTCAATGGTTTGTGTTGAGAAATGTACTGTGATTCTGATGGGCTTCCCCTTACAAGTGAACTGTTTCTTTAACAGCTTTTAATATTTTGCTCTTGTGTTGAATTTATGGGATCTTGAGTATTATCTGAGTGTAGATTTATTTTGGTTATAGCTAATTGGGGTTCTATATGTCTCACTAATATATGTCAGATTTTGCTCCCATGCTTGGGAAATTTTCTGGTATTACTTCTGAAAATAGTCTTTTTGTGTCGTATGTGTTGACTTCTGCTTTTGTTGATACCTATCAGTCTTATATTGTTTTTCTTTACATCATCTTGCAGCAATTGAACTGTTATTTCCTGGTTCCTTGTTATTTTTAATAGATCCTTTCATGATCACTAGCTGCAATGCTGGCTTCAAGGTTTGAAAGTCTATCTTCCAGTTTCATTTGCCAGGTTTTAATGGAAATTTTTAACTTCCTGGATATCTCTTTGAATCTGTTTCACGT